CCCTCAGCCTCCTCTTCTCCAGGCTGAGCCCCCCCAGCTCCCCCAGCCGCTCCTCCCCAGCCTTGGGCTCCAGCCCCTGCCCCAGCCTCGCTGCCCTGCTCTGGCCACGCTCCAGCCCCTCCATGGCCGCCTTGGGGTGAGGGGCCCAGCGCTGAGCACAGCACTCGAGGGGCGGCCTCACCCGTGCCGAAATTCATCCCTTCTCCCTCCCTGTGTCAGCAAGAGGGGACACAGGGGTTGAAACTTGCTGCCAGAGTTCTACAGGGTCAAGGAGGAGGAGAAATAGGGTGGATGAAGGCTCTGAGCAACCTGATGGAACAGGGAGATGAGCTCTCCTCTGAGCGGGGGTTGGACGAGACGGCCCCCTCCCATCCCTTCCCACCTCTGCTCCATCAGGATCCGCACTCGCTCCGTCCCTCCCTGGAGAACCAAGAGCCCCTCGGGAGCTCCCTCGCCTTCAACCCTAGCGAGATGGCTCCCAGCCCGAATTGCTGCCCACCGGCGGGATATCACGAGAAACTTTTGGGCAGGAGAGATGCTTGGCTGAGCCAGCGGCTTTGGGTTTCGTCAGAGGCGACGGGGCTTCGTTAGCGCCAGAGAAGAACGAGACGGCTGCGCGGATGGGGAGCAACTCCGGCAGCGATCCCTCCCCGGAGACGCGGGGCGGAGGAGGTGTGAGCGCTGAATCACGCCGCGATGCTTCACTGCAAACACACCACAGAATTAAGAGGATTTTTGCTGCCTCTGAATTGTGGGATTTTTAGGATTTTTTTTGCTCATTTTCTAACTGTTTAAAGATGGGGGGCTTCCTATTTTTGCTAGAAATGGAGATGGATTACAAACTGCTGCTGACGCAGACAAGAAGCAAGGTCAGTTCGGCGCCGATACGAAGCTGCTGGACGAGCCCGCCGTTCCCTGGGCCCAGCAGCCCCCAACATCATGGGTTGCTCAGCAAGTAGGCGCCTTTTAAGAGAATAAAGGTATTACACGCAAAGGTGAGTTGAGTCAGCCGGAGCCTCGTTACCCCAGAGAAACCAGCGCAGAACATCAGCGAGGAAACGTCTGCTCCGCCGAGAGAAATTAGCAATTAAGTGGCAACAGCAGGGGGTTATATAGGTGACAAAACCCTCTGCTGTCACCTTACCCCCGGCGCATCCAGGCCACGCTGCGGACAGAACGTATCGGAGTGATTTCCCTTCTGGTCTCCTCCTGAACGGCTCTTTGAAGACCAGACCTCCTGGGGTTTAGGTATCTGAGTCTCAACCCGGTGACGGTCCGTGCAGCTGCTGTGACAACCCCCTAAAGCCCACGGGTCTGCAGATCCTTTGTGTCGACTGACTTAGCTTTTTCCAGCCCATTTATTCAGCACTCTGCAAAGAGATTCACTCCACGAAATCATTAAGACTCACAATGAGACCAATTACGAGTCAGAAAGAGAACCTGACTTCAAACATAATTTTATTAAGGCTTAAATGTCTATCAGCCAGACGGGAGCTGGTCCAGTCCCACGACATAAACCGAGAGTGACGTTTGGCGTTAACGCGATGGCTTCTCTACACGAGTTCGCACGAGCAGGATGAGATCGCTGCCGGTTACTCACGCATGAACCACGGCCTCTCGTCGTGACTTGCTGGGCTCCAGGATGAGCGCCGGGCTCCTGCGGCACAGCGAGGGCACGGCAGGGCGGAGGGGAGCGAGGCGGGGAAGGGGAGAAGTCAGGTAGCTTGCATGTCGTCAATCACGAGGACTTCGCCTGGTCCACGACCGAATGGCTGCTCGTCAAATACGTAAATGGTTTTAACTCACGGGGAAGCTAAACTCACAGTCCAAAAGGCACCTATGCTAAACCACTGAGCCACTGGGATGGTGGTAAGAGGGCGGGTGCGACGGGTGGAAATCAGTTCTGTATAAATACATATTCCTTGTTAAAGAAGCTATGGCTTTTATTATCCTCGGATCGCTTTGCTCTGGCGCAATGCTCTAACCCCCCACCCCCCACTACTCTGTAAGCACAAGAAGATCAAGTCCTCTCCGCCATTATGGGTGCTCATCTGGCAAGCTCTCCAAAGGCCTTCGTCCTCCTACGGATCGATACAGACACAGGGAACAGCAGCGGCTCCTTGTTCTCATCCTCCCGGCGGGCTCCGGCAGCCGCGGGCTCAGAAGTGAACCCTCCTGACGTCGTGCGTGGCAGCCGATCTTTTACAACTCCCGCACAGTATCGACGATAGAGACTTCTGCTTCTCGGCCAAGCACGGGCGACACATGAGGTGGCCGCAGGAAAGCTGGTAAACGGGCTCCGTTTTGAAATACGAGGAGAAGGTTTTGCTGCAGGAAGAGCATCCTTGGGTCTGGCTGCTCCTGCCGTGCTCTGCAAAGGCGAGAGGAGAAGCGGCTCGGTCGGGGGGGGGTGACGAGTCCACGCCGTGCCACCCCTACGTGCCCAATCTTGCCTACGAGCCGAAGGCCCCACTTTCTGCAGCCGTACGGCGGAGCCATAGGTGCTCCCGGCTCAGGACCGTGGCCCCTTTTCTCTATCCTACCGTAAGAAAAGGGAACAGTCTGGCTTCTGGGGCAGGTTGTGCTCAGAAGGGGCTGGATGACGTCAGCATTTGCACCATCAGGCTTTTAATTGAGAGATGACTGCAAAGGGCTTTTTGCTTTTACTGAGACTAAATCGGCCTCCCTTCCGCTTTTCCAATGCTCGGATTCGAATCACCAATTCCCGAGTGCAACGCTTTAGGTATCACTTTGCATTCCTCTCACACACGAGCTATCAAGGGCTACTCAGTCAACTCTTAAACAGCAGCAATTTTAAAGGGGACAGGAAAAAGCTTAATAGCTTAATGTCGCTGCCTAACAGCAAAAGCTGTCCAGAGAGAGACAGCCGCGGGGAGCTGCACGGCCCCGGCCCCTCTCAGGGTCACTTGGTCCCTTCTGAGCCCTCTTCTCTGCCCCGAGCAGGCAGATCCTCGCTCGGGGGAAGAAGAGGAGCAAGCCAGCAGTTAGGGCATTGGCTTGCGGAGGGACGTATGAAGGTTCAACGCTTCCCTGCACCCCGAAGAAACCATTTTGGGTAGGCACACACAGCTGGATTAGCACGTCTAGCTAGCAGGTGTGATGAGAACTGCGAGGACTCAACAGCCTGGCCTATAGATCTTCAAACATGACGGGATTCTGGGCACAAGCTTGGCTGGGTGGCCTGTGACGTTGCTACCGTTACCTGTTCCTGTCAGGGGTCAGCATGCTACATGGTATTTGCTAGATTTACACCTCTCCAGCTGCCAGACCCACTCGCCACCCACGCAGCAGCTCCCCAGCTTGCTCTGTGCAGCTACCTGGCAACATTTAAGCGGCTCAGCCCGACCCGCAGAGCTCTGGGAACAGCCAAAGCCTTGACGCGGGGAGATCTCTCAGGCTGAACTAACCCGGCGCAGGCTGGGCCGAGCGCCGTGTCCCAGCGCAACGCGTCCTTCGGCAGCGCAGGCAAGCTACAGCCAACACCGCGGACAAATCGCAGGACTCGTGCTGGAGCCTGCTCTGCCCGTGGATGTGGACACCGTGCCCCACTTTCTGGGGGTCAACAAGGTCTAACCTGCCTCACTGGGAGAATAAACCATGAAAACTGCTGAGATGCAAAGGCAGTAGTTAGGGATTGTTAAGTAAAGCTTGCTGGGAGACAAGATAATATTTTTATATTGAATATATACTATTTTGGGGTCTGAAGAGGCATAGAAAGATGCTGAGCAGGTGCACAACCCTCCCTTGTTAACCCGGTCCCGCTTCTGCTCTCCTCCCTCACTCCCAAAGGCGAACCAGAGGCGTTTGCTGCTTACCGAGGACGGTGCTCGTGCTCCACGAGCTGCTGCAGCCTCCCTCGCTCGGCGCCTGCTGCTGGCTCTTCATCAGCTTGGCCGTAAACGAGGGCATCGAGCTGAGCGCCGAGGTCAAGGCAGTGTCCAAACTCTCCGACAGCTTCTGTTCGTGAGAGACCAGATCTGCAAAGAGAAGCACAAGCTTGAGAAGCGGAGGCCAGGAAAAAGCAAGCCGTCAATGCGCGACAGAAATGCTGCTTTGCCTCTGAACCTTTCGAAGGGACAACACTCGGGATTTTAGGAGCTCTGCCACTTGTTTTCTCGAGAGGTCTCTTTTCCCCACCGAGGTGCCAGGATGGGGATGTAGTGCCTCATCTCCTTTGGGTCCTAAAGATGGAAAGCCCTACGGGTTACTGTCAGACATTCATGTCGTGCCCCAGTGCCAACGAACCTTCAGGTGCCGGCTTATATCTGCAGGTCTGAACAAGGCGAAAATGCCAAATAATCCAGAAAATCCTTTCTCTCTGAAACCCCAGGCAGCTCCCTCAGCCTGCTGCACCGAGGGCCCCAGCCCCGCGCTCCCGGGCTTGCTTCGTGCAGGCAACTGGGAACGTTTGAGCCACTAACAAAATCTGGGAGACTTATTTTTCTTCTCTCTGTCCCAGTTCTGAGTCAAGGGATAAAGCCAAAGGCACAGGGTTGGACCTTTCCCTGCAGCGTTTTGTCCTGTGCAACACCGAAGGCGTTAATTAAGACCATTCATTAAGAGAATGTTGCCTGCATCACTAATTCTGTTAAATCCATCTCCCAAAGGAAGACCTTTGAATTAGTGCTGCACATTTGCTACGGCAATCAAGGCTGATGAAATACTGAAGCACGAGCTCCCTGGGCCCAGCACTGTGCTTTTATTTATGTACGGGCACGGCTCCCCCGGGAGCTCCGGGACCCCTCCGGGCAGCCCCTGCTCCTGCGGGAGCTGTGACACGCCTCTGCAGTAAAAATAACTAATGATTCCTCCTAAAGCACGGACTGAGCTCTAGACTGAGAGATCAGAGCAGAAATGTGCAGTCTGACTCTCTCCGCTACCATCAAACGTCAATTATTTTCTACCAAGTCTTTAAAGAATTTGTTTAGAATTAAAGAATCGTCTAAGTTTTTTCCTTGAAACGTTTTTGGGCGATTTTGGGAGAAAGACAAGGCGAGTGACAGGTACCAGCAGGCATTAAAGGCAATCAGAAGCCACGGGCCACCTTTTGACGCGTTACAGACCACTAGTTTAGCGAACACAAGGGAACTGAACTTACCTGCCTAGAGACAGCCCTTAGGTGACCAGAAGACACCCGTGCACCACGTATTTATAGCGTCCTACGCAGACCAGACTGCTCGCAACAGACACAGCCGCTCTCTTCAAGCTCACCTAAATATGAGACGGCTAAAGACGCCTCTTTCCCACCTCCCAGCTTAAGTTTACCTTCCTCCTCCAGCGGGATTATTACCTAAAGCAGTAACTCAGTTTAACGATAAAAGATATAAGCGCTGCTGTATGTAGTACAGTTATATCCACATAACAGTTGCAGCAACTACAAAACGTTTCAGGAATTCCTGGGCCAACAGGGGAGAAAGCAAACATGGCAAAATAGATGTGGATTTGGGCGAAAGATCTAGCGTGGAGTCAAGAGGAGCAATTGCCCGGGAGCCACGCTCTTCACCACGGACGGGAGGCTGACGGTAGCAGCTGTTAGAGAATAAACCACAACGAGCAAACAGATTTTGGGGAGAGAGGTGTGAATCTCCTTGGTATTTAAACCACAGCTCACCTTTGCTTTCTGAAGCCTGTCGCCTCCTCACCAGACCAGCCCCAGCACTTGAATGGTGCTGGGCGGCAGTGGCTGGACCGACAGTGCCCTATGCTCCCGCGCCCAGCGCTCGGTGCATGCAGAGGTCTGTCTGTCTTGCCGCAACGCTGCCTTGGCTGCCTGGTAAGAAGCTGTGGCACGGCTGGGGACCGAGGTGGGTGAAAGCACTCAGCTTTTTGGGGAATTTATCTCAGGGTTGCAGGTCTGAACTGTTTTTCTGCCTCCCGGAGCTTATGCGCAGCAGCGCTGCTACCAGATCTCTGAGAAAAGCAAGGATGAAAGGGAACCAGTGCCCATTTCCTTCCCCTGCAGACACAAGTCCTGTCCCTTGTCTAACGTCTCCACCTGGTTTTCTGCTTTAACTAGCTGCAAACCCTGGGCAAATCTCTCCCAGCCTGTGCTGTCCTCTCCTCCCTGCTCCAAAGGCAGCACCGCCTGCAATTCCCTTGCTGCCGTTTGTTCCAAGCCCTCGCGCTGCCACACTCAGGTTATCGCAGACGGGAGGCTGTGCAGCGATGCGCTCCCCAGGCTCAGCCTCTGCCACAGCCAGAGCAGCCCCCTAAGAAGGGACGGAGCCAGCCTGTCCCGGGGACGCAACCTGTGCGATGACGCTGAGCGTGCAGGGAACCAGCTGCACCGAGAGCCCAGGCTGGCGATGCCCGGCCAGGGAAATCCGTCAGCAGGATTAGTGCTTTTTGTTCCCGCTTTCCTCCCCACCTCACTCCTCATGATAAGATCCACAGCAGCCAGGACTCCCTGTGCCATCACCACTGCACCACCAGACATTGCTTTCCCTGCTCTTGTGTATTTTCGTGCTGATGCAAGAACGTATTGGATGGCTGGGATAATAAATTGCCCACGATAGAGAAACTTCAAACCAGCAGCTGTGAGAAAAACGTTGTCTCACACGGACAGTGGCTTGAAAGCAAGGAGGAGAAAGGAAATACAAACTAAAAGGGAAACACAGCGACCTGAGGAAACAAAGAGGGCTGTGAACCAGGTGCACGGGTAACACAAGGAGAACGACGAGCCTAGAGATGAGAAAAAGTGAAACAGAAGGGGAGCAAACACCACCCAGGATGGCAGGTCGTGCTGAGGAGAGAGGAGGTGAAGGAGACGATGACCTGACTTCCACGACATCTATCAACAGCAAAACACAACGGCCTTAAAGCTTTCTAGAGGTGGGATGGGAATCTGTACTGGAGCCTCGCGACTTGAAAACCTGGCCCCGGGCTGTCAAGACACTCAAGAAACACAGGTGACTTAGGGAGCCACGATACCTGTCGAACAGTCCATTTGGATCAAATGCGAGTCATTGTCAGTTTTCATTTTTTTAGCACTGTTCTCTGAGGTAGACGTGACAAGTAAGTTTGTAGAAGAAAAATAAGGTGGCTGCATGGAGCTCTGATCCATACAGTCCATTTTCCTCTTCAGAGAAGACATTGTTACGGAAGAAGGTACGAGCATTTCCGAGGCATGGGCCCTCCCGAGCAGGTTGGTGCCTGGGATGCTGTGCTGTAAGAGGAAGTGGTCTATCCTGGCCTTGAGGGTAGGGTGAGGTAGGGGCTGCGAGTGCTGGCTGAAGGCCACCCCAGTGAAAGGATCGCTGGGTACCCTGCCCCAAGACGCCTCACTCCGGTTGCATTTTTCCAAGGTGGTCTGGTCGATCACCTTCCCGGAGGGCAGGAGCATGGGGAAGGTCATGATCTCCAGAGTGATGGGGTCCAGGAATTCTTCAGGGATGTCTTGGACGACATCCACCAGCTTGCGGAGGGTCTGCTGCTCGCTGTCGTTGGCACTGAAGGGCACACAGTCGCTCTCCATCGGCGTCCAGAGCTCTGGTTTGAGGCTCCCGATGTCCTGGGCGAAGAACTGGGAGGCCACCTGAAAGACACCCTCGATCACCTCCTGCGGGCATGATTTGGCAGGCTGTCCCCACACCTCCAGCCTCTTAATGCAAGGCAGGCCGCCTCCGGCCACGTGGGTGATGCAGATTTTTAAGTGCGACACATTGCTCAGCGAGGCAGGCCCTTTGTTCCAGAGGTCTTGAGATGCAGAGCCAGGGTAGGAGAAGACATTTTCCATCTGATGGAAGGGAGGCCTCGGCTTGAAGCCTCTGTGGCCGAACGTCACTTTGCTTTGATTTTTTAAGACAGCTTTGCCCACCAGCGTGAAAGTGTCTTTGTCCGACACAGGCTGACCAGCCAGACCTGAGAACTGACCCTCAGGGCTCTGCCAAGAGGTTTTATTGCATGAGGTAGAGGTGTAAACTTCGAGCCCGGAGAAGGTTTGGTATCCCCCGGATGAGATGTCGATATTGATCCTGCAGATCTCAATGTTGAAGGGAAAAGAGATTGTGACGTGGACTGGAGGTTTGATAAAGTATTCGCTGCGGAAACCACGATTTCTCTTGGCAAGGTCTTCGGAGATCAGATTCTCCACTTCGTAACCGTCAGCAGAAATCTGTGTTTCAGGAGAAAACTGGATTTAATTTGAAGCAAGAAAATAAAAGGAAACGAATTTCACAAGTACTTACGTAGATTCTCAAGATGACATCAACTAGGAACCGAGGCTGCGGTTTCACGCACAGCTGAGACAACCCAGGAGGTCCCCGCTGCTGAGGCAGAGCGGACCCGCTCCCGCCCTCCTCCAGCCACCCGGCCCCATCCACTCTTCTCTGCACCCTCCGTTACCTGGCCAGCCATGTGCAGAGCTGATTTGACCGCTAAAAGAGTGGAAAATTGTGTTTGTGGTTTTGGCTGGGTCAGTGAACTACATCAAGTGGGAGACCGTGGCTGGGAGCAGAGCATGCGTGCGTGGGGGAGACGGGAGTCTCTTCTCTTTCAGCAGGGGTGAAACATCATGTCAGCCTATCCTGCCGCCTGGAAACGGTCCCTGAATCACCCAGTTTATGATCCCAGAGAAACCTCCGGAGGTCAGGCAGCCAACTGCTTTCTCCTGCTCTGGGATCAACCCAACCCATCCCTGATGGAGATCCATCTAACATGTTCCATACCCCATGCCTCCCAGAAGAGGCAATCCCACCCTCTCTGCTCCTGGACAGGCTGCCTCTACCCGTTCCCCTTCCTCAAAGCCTTGGGACCTAAAAACTCTGCAGCCCTTGCTAAACGAACCGGTAACAGCAAGGAATATCTATTTATTCCACCTGCTTAATACGGTCACTCTATACCCCCCTGATCACACCAGACCTCAGCAGCACGGCTGGGTCTCTGAACACCCCACCCAGAGGGACGGTCACACCTGTACTGCTATTTTTACAGCACAACACTTACAAATCCAAGGCTGTCTTGGATTTTGGGGTGTGAGTTGGTGGGGAGACAATTAAAAAATGGTTTTGAATTAAAAACTAGTTAGTACCGAAGAGATTCTGATGACGCTGGGTGAAAACTTAAGTACTTGTAAAGTACAGTAACTTCAGCACACATTGTCAAGAGCTGCACGTTCTATTGGAGAAAGGGAAAGCTCTAATACTGCAGGGAAAAAGGTATCTCAAGTCAAAGCACACAGATAACGTTGTCTTGTTATGAGATCCTGCAAAATCAGGGCTTTTTCCTTCCGACAATTAGCGTGTGCCACACTGGAGCAGTCACAGGAGGTTATACAGGGTTCTAACACTACCTAGCAGAGACTGACCAAAGCACAGGCAGGACAAACCAAATTTTGAAGAGTAACTGTTGGGACATCTCTCAATACCGATTTTTCAAAGTACTGAGCCTTCAGCTCTACTTTATCTTCACGTGAGCTGCAGATCCCAAGCACCCAGACATGGGTTCTCTTAGGGCTCGCACATCCGTGACTTTCTCAAGACCAAAGCGCAAAAGGGGAATGGGATCCAGGAGGGCAGATTCCCAACGTCAGCTCACAAAACCGCCTCGCCGGGAATGACAGGAGACTGGTGAGCTTGGAAGAGAAAGCTATGAGCGAAACCGCCCAAATCACAACCCTCCCACGTCACTGGAAAATGATTTTAATTGACAAAAATGCTCTCAGCTCTGCAGACGAAAGAGCCTACACCTTACCTAGGCTGGGACGGCATCTGTCCTTGATGCTACTGTCGCCAGCGGACACACACAGCCTCCCGTGTTAAAATCCCTCTCTGAACCAGCCAGGCCACACGAAATGACTGGGGTTTGCTGTGAGTTGCCTTTGCTTTGTTTTCTCAGGGTAGCCTGGCACGGCCAGGCAAAAATCAGTCTTTCAGAAACACTGCTAATTATCACAGATGAGCAGCAAAGCAGCCCTCCCCAGCCCCAACCAGTCCGGCATGCCCCTTCCACCTAACCCCGCCATCCCTCTGGCTCCCAAAAACCCCGCACATCATTATTTTACCTTGTTGCAGTGAATTCTTGGCTTGAACTGTGGGAGACAGACGTTTATTACCATCTTGGCAGCTGGAGAAAGCTCAATTTCTGAGCATCAGATTCAGCTTGTAAAAAAAAAAAAAAAAGGCAAAATAAAGAAAGTGAGCATCAGTGAACAGCGAAAGGATTTCGTGTTTCGGAGCCTGTATGAAATACAAGCTCGGTGGTTCCTAAAAGGCAGCTCAGATCCGAGTCCAGGAGGTAAAGCCAATATAAACCCAAATGACTGTGGTGGAGAGATGGGATCGAGAGAAAAAAACGCATTAATATTAATTAGTGAACCCCTGGAGAAACATCAAAGAGAAAATGGCTATTTGAACTAAAAACGTCTTACCTATGGGTAGACTAGCAATTAGATCGGAAAGTTTGTCAAAGATGCAGGAGGTTTTGTAGATACAGTAAGGCAGCAGAATGCCACATGAGGTTGTCAAAGGAATCGGCGTGAGCAGCCTCAGGTGGCCGCGGAGGACGCGGGGTGCTGCGGGACACGGGGTGCTCTGTCATCCGACCGGGGCATTCAGCACCACAGCCCCTCGCCGCTGCGAGGCGGAAAGAGCCGGTGTCCACCCCCACCCTGCGGCCTTGAACTCTGTGTTTTGCCCCCGTGCCCGGTTCCCCCCGCGTACCTCGTCTATCTGCTGCCTTCAGCAGTTTGAGGCAGGACCTGCCCGCGCTCTGGGACAACACCCAGCACGCCAAGCTCGGACGGGGCCTCTCGAGACGAGGGTAACACCAGCCAGCACTAACGCAGCGCTGCCGCGAAGAGAAATGTTTCTCCAGGGCTTCAGGACCTCAGATATAAGCTAAGATTAAACACAAATATTAATAATCGGTATTTAATAGCTCCAAGAGGCATTTAACAGCTCTAAGGGAGATTATTTGTGTTCTGAACACCGACCCAGCTGATTCTTCTGACAATGTTCATTAAAGAAACTCAAGTGAATGCACCGTCTTTTCCATTGAAAAAAATGTGACTCGAATTGGTTACATCAAATCCCTTTTAAGAATGAAATTATCTGCGAGGTAAGAGTTTTAACCTTACATTAACCTTAGTTTTAATATGTCATTGCCTTGGGCAACCTTGCAAATCAGGAATCCACTGCTTCCTTCAAGAACAAGCAGCCCTTTAATGATTTTTTCAGCTGAAGCTGTTAGTTCAGCCAAAACGAAATTGGCCTTCTGGGGCCACGTCGGCCCGGCTGCTGAAACGCAGAGCGTTAGCGAGCTCGCTTTGCCGGCCTGCTAAGCGTGCGGGAGCAGTCCGGTCTGCGTGCGATGAAATGAGAAACGCGGTATCCGAGGTACAAATCCAACGTATATAATTCAACAGAACAGAAGTCAAGCCTGCAGAGAGCAGAGCTTGAAGGTTGCGATGCCAATGCTCGATCAAAGCAGGCGTGAACCTAAGAAGAGCTGTAGCTGGCCAGCCGAGCACCCTTACTAGCCCAATATTTGATCTGACAGCCATCAGGAGCCATTCCTTTTTAATCACGAGCCACTCCTGCTCCTCAACAGGGAACACAGGAACGGAAGAAGCACAAACGAATGCTCCTCCAATATTACTTTCCTGGCTTTCCGAGCCTGACAGGCTTTCAGCACAGGGCTGCCAGTGAGGAATTGTTCAAATAAGCTTTTGAACTGGTCTGACTTTTGCCACTCACATCTTGTGGGAGGAAGATTGGCAGTTTAACTACAGGCTGTGTGACACAGCTACAGCTTTTGGTTCATTTTGAACCTGCTGCCTGGTAAATTAGCTTGGCCCTATCACTGGTATTACAAAAAATGGCACATAAACTCCCTCTGATCCCTTTCTTGGAATGACGCAAGATTTGCCTTCTCTTCTATTTCTCCTCACACCTCTCTTTCCTGAGCTGAAGGCTTCTCCATATCCCTTCCAACCTGACCAGATGGGTGAATTGGCATTCGGCAAGTCTCGGTGAGACCTTCCCCGAATGAAGGTGAGGCACCTTCACCTCTGCACCCCTGCAAACTCATCGCTTTAAGAACTCGCTCCTCATGAGCCACTGCCTACCGAGATCCTGCCTACGGCGGATGCCAAATTCTCCCGTGGACCCGGTGGTCGTGCAGCCTCCCCTTTCGCAGTCCTGCCTCATGCCAGGCAAATCACGGGTCGGTGCGAGTCATTCCTCAGGACAGACTCACATCTTCTTCCAAGCCTAAGGCTGTTATTGAGGTTGCATCCTAAATCTATCCTTTTCTACCATACTCTTAATATTCCGTGGCAATCAGCTCTGCTTAATTACAAACAATTTATTCTCTTGCTAAGCTTGCTGTCTTTAAACTCAGCTGCTCCTTGGTCTGCAGCATGAGGAGCTATGTATGTATATACAGATATATTTTATAGGATTCTCTCCTACCCGTTCGTGACCCTGACAGACTTAAACAACTCAGACTAATTTTTCCAGGTTCAACGTCTCAGGAGGAAAAGGCCTTCTTCTGCATGTCCAAGTCACTGCTCTCCCTTCTTCTCAAAAGCTCTGCTACACTCTTGCTTCACAGCAAAAGTTGGTCCCGGAGTTGTTTTTAGCCAGGACTGTGGTTTTTTTATTCTTCCCATGAAAAAGCAACTCGGAAGACAGACAGTGGGGGTGAAGGGATGGATTAAATGGAATGAGATTAGGACTAAGCTTCGGTGTAAAGAAGGAAAGTAAGAACTGGCCGGACACACTGTGATCAGAAGGTAAAGGGCAGATCAGAGAAGCAGGCAGGATCAGATGGGGACAGCGAGCCCGGGACCCCTCTGGCAAAGAGCCTGGGCTGAAGCAAGAGCTGGGGAAATGCAGACTGTAAAAAGCTCTGGAAAAAGAATGGGATGGGGCAGTGGATGCAGCTTCCCATGGCTACTGCTGCCATTACGCCCCAAACGGGTGTGGAGGTCCCCTGTGCCTGCGACAACCCAGGTGGCTGTGGCACGAAGGAGGTTCTGAATTTATGAACACTTTAAAAATACAACTCCCACAAAACTGCGTTATTAAAGTCATTCCTTGTCAAAACAAACGACTCAAAGATCACAAAGGACTCAAAGACTATGAAGTGCCATCAGGATGTCACACAACCGTCCCATCTCTCTCGGGTGTGCGCCTTCCCTAAGGGGAACGACGATCTCTCGACTGAGGCAGTGAAACGCAGACCTGAAGGACCGCACTCTGTACTTTTCTATGCCAGCAGGGTCCTCCGTGCTCTGAGACAAGTCCTTTAAAACCAGGCTTTCTGGGGCTAGTCACTAAGTGCCTTCCTGCTGTCCTACACACAACCAGGGAGCTGCTGCGGTAAGGAACGTGCAGAGCGGACAATGTACAGTGCTCCGTAATAGGGAGTATTTGAGGGAGAGGAAAAAAAAAAAACAGCCCAGACATTTTAAACCAGGCAGCCAAAACGAGCTAATATAGAGTATCTGTCTTGGGACAACAACCTGCTTACTGCCGCCTCTCTTCCCCATCCTCCACCTCGTATGCCTTGAAACGCCGCACTGCAGGACAGCCAGAACAGCTCGGCTGCCTTTGCAGTGGGAACGGGAGTTTCACCTGCTGCTCCATGTGAAATAATCCCTACAGCTCTGCTCAGATGCAGAGCCTGCCCTGGGCACCTCACAAAACATCCCTCCTCTCAGAAATACCGCCTGAAAGCTCAGGAAGAAGCCAGCAACCCTGTCCCAGAACGGCGTGCAGAAATTGGACGCTGGGCCCCATCCTGAGCAAGAAAATAACACGATAAGCCACGTGATGGAGGGCGAAACCAGTTGCCTCCAGAGCAGATGCTCCACACAGCTGGAGTCTGCGCTCCAGTTTGCACAGGACTCATCGTCACCCAGACGGGGGAATCGCCTCAAGGTGGATCTGTGGGCCCCATTTGGTGGCAGACGTTATCAACAGCGTCACCAGGATGCAAACGCTCTCTGCCAGGCATCGCTGAGAGCTGAGCAAGGAATTCACGTCTCGTGGTCAGAGCACCCCAACCCTCAGCCCCGGCTTCCATCTCACCACTCAGCTTTCACGCTCTGCCCTGCTCACGCACAGCTCCGAGAAGAGAAACTCGGACCGCGTGCCCACCAGCCCCAGCTCGATGGTGACGGAGACAGTAAGGAAATATCTATGTGTGTTCCTGGCACCCAGGTCAGCTTCATGACTAAAAATCACCCCAATTCTCTCCCAAATATCACGACAGCATTGACACTGTTCTGCTCTCAGAAAGTCAGCAAATCCATCCGCTTTCATTTAGGGCAGAGAAGAAAGTAATCATGGAGAAAAATGAATAGGAGAGTAGTTTTTATTTGTCAAGGAAGCATTTGAGGATCCATGTACAAAAGGAGAGCGTGGGACACATGACTGTCAGCAAAGCGGAACTGGCTAACTTAGCAAGGCAGCCTGAGCACACAAAGCACCCTGCCAAAAACTGAACCGACACTCAGAGACCATTTTCGTCAGTAAGCAGAAAGAGAGATGCATCTGGGAGGCTGTGTCAGCCTCTGAGCAAGCAGCACCCCAGACTAGCCAGCCCTGCTAAGCAGCGCTGGGTCGAACACTTTGTAATGGAGGTAGCTCAGTTTCTCCAAACGCGTGCGTTTGAGCAGGGGAAACCATTCCCAGAAGGGAAGCTCAACCACCACGTACCCCAGCTGCCGCAGCTGCCGCCGTTTCAAACAGTGCAACCCCAAGAGCCGCTTGGAGCAGTAGCAGTAGTGGTTTCGGTTGGACACCTGAATGGCCAGTTTCACTCCCTGAGGCCGCCGATCCAGTGTAAGGGTTGCGGGGGCTTCAAGACAGCACTCTGATTTAGGCTCAACTTGCAATCTGGCACCTGCAATAAGAGCTCCACCTGAAAGCGCAGCATGATCCTCCACGAGTGGTGTTCGTGCTTCTTCCCCTCTCTCCTGACCGGGAGTCCTGGCTTCATTTTCCACTTCCACAGGAGACTGGCTATGGGATCTCCCTTTTATAAGCTGAGTCATTAACTCATTGGTTAGACTAACTCCAATGTCTCTTAGCTTCTTATCTGCAATAGGGTCTTTTAAGTTGAAAGGGACAGGACGTCCATCCATGGCCAAATGAACCTCTAGATCGCTCGATCTTGTGTGAGGCAGGATCATGTGGTTCT